TTTTTATATACTTGTGTATTTTTTAGCGTTTTTATATATTTTTTATTTATTTTTTTGATATTTGCTTTTATTTTCCTTCACCCTTATTTATTCTTTTTTACATTTTGTCTTCCTTTTTACATTTTGTCTCCTATTATGGCTTGATATTTTTTAGGATTGGTTATTTTAATATTTTATTTTAGTATGATTTTATATCAAGTACCCATGTGTACTTATTTATATTTTATTTATGGTTGTGTGCCTATTTATTAGATTTCTATTTTCATCTAATAAAGAATTATTTTGGTTGTTTTATTTTTATATTTGTCCTGCATGTTATATATGTTTTCTACTAGTTTAATATGGGCATGTGCGATATAAACATTCCCTCTATATTCATATAGATGCCTCATCAGTGGTACTGATTTGCGCTTTACTTATTGTTATTATTCCAGGATGCACTGCAATAATTTGGCAGTAGGAGCGCCGTTCAATACCTTTATTTGGTGGCGGCTCCCAGCCTTCATATTGATCAATGTAATGTCCTTAGTTTATGTGCCACAAGAAAATGGCAGCTGGAGCGCCACCCAACACTCTTGATTGGTGCGGCTCCCGGCTTTTATAAGGAAGTGCGGCCAACCAAACTCATAATGTCCTGATGAAGTCACAAGGTCACGTGATGCAACGCATCGACGGCATTCACGGGTGACGTACTTCCAGCGTGGTGCCATTTTTGAATACTTACTAGCGCTATTTTCATGCAGAACACCTTGTACATTGGATTCTACCTTGATATATGATGTACATTGTGCACATTGGATTCTACCTTTGATATATGGTTTTCTACCTGATGCAAGCTGCATCTATGTGAGTGCACTTTTGTCTTCCTTGATTTTGTATGCCATTAAACAGTAATACACTATGGAGATTGTGTTCTCTCTCTATTATTATGGGCATATGATCTCTATGAGTGTGCTAAGCTGCCTGTTGACCGGTCCAGTGGATCTATGAATTAGTGATTGCCTGCTGACATAGTCTGGGTATTAGAGCGGTTGCTTTGAGGATCCAGAGGAGAGTTTATTTGCTTTGTGGCCCTGCAGGGTCATGAAGTGAAGATGAGAGGCCATTGCAGCCATTTCTTTGGGGTTCACATTGAGGGTGTGCTGACATCCACATCGTGCATGAACTGGAAGATCACTACACTGATTTATGGACTGTTTTGCCACTGAATTATTTAAATGTGATGTGTGTCTCACTTAGTGTGTTTATCTGATCCCTTATTAGGGATTCACATCTGTGTGGATTAATATGGTGTCTTATTAAACACTTGGGAGTCACGATTATTATATCCCCATGTGGATTGGGGCACATTTTTTTGTGATCATATTAATAGGTCTGGTTCTTTTAGACCTTTTTTATTTGTTTTGTATTGTCTGTGTCACATATATATTGTTTATTACCGATGATTGTTTATTTTATGAGCATTTAAATAGGACTGCACCTACATTTTCTTTTCAAAAAGGTAATTTTTTATTGATAAATTTGAACAATGTAGCTCTAGATATGTAACTCTTTATCTTTGATTATTATTATTGTTATGTAAAAATAGGTATGCAATGGTGTTATTACTAAAGAATTGAGCCCTTGAAAGCTTGGAAGAAAATTAAAACAAGGTTGTTCTTTGGTGGAACGCCATCAGGTTGCACTGTGTGGATGGTTTAATCCACTCTCCCATCACGTTCACAAATCTGGATGAAGTGTTAATATAAATCACAGTCCATAATATAATATTTGGCCTTGAACAGTCTGCAGATTGCAGATAGCAGATAAAAATAAGCTACAAAACTAAATTTTTGTGTGCTGGGACCCCTTAACAGTGATTATTTATTCCATCTCATTTTTGTTCTGTCACTAGTGATGGATATGGTTAATTTTTGCTGTTCTGTATTTATATTGAATATTGTCATTTATATACATTAATCATCAATGTAATTGTTGTACGAACAAAAAATGCCTTTACACAGACATTTCATTTTACAATATAATTATCTAGACACCCTGCTGGTAATGAGAGAGAATTCTAATTACTTCAAAATGAAGCAATTATTCATACATTCTCATGTTTAATGTAGATAGGGGCAGTGTTAACAATTTAAAGCTAGTCAGTATATTTAAATTGTTACTACAACATCATATGTCTCTCAATGTATAGTGTCGTATGAAAATCTGGGAGATGATGATAATTGTAATGATATATGTTTTTTTGGATAGCAATATAACCACAATTTTGAAAACACATTCTGTAGCAATGTGAGGACGATTTTTAGAACCTGTGTCATTTTTTTGTTTCTGCCCTCTTTCTTAATAGAATTAAAATCCTCTCTTGCTGTTTCTCTGTTGAAGTGATCTACTATGACAACTTCTCTGCTTGACAACTTCTCCTCTTCTTTAAGCACTGGAGTTCTTGCATGTTGCTTTCTCTTAATGTGAGCCACTTTCTGTCTCCAAAAAATGCACCAGACTGTTACCAGGGAGTGTAAAAAAGGTTGATAGCCATCAAAATAAATAATGATTAGATAGGCTTTCACTGTCAGTTGCCCATTCTTGATTTGCTAATTATTATTCTGCTGCCTCAGAATGGGTTCTCCATCATCATAACACCTATTTTCATTGCTAGTTAAAACTACCAGTAGCTGCAAAAAAGAAAGAGGCCCAATCACAGAAGTACTTCCTCCTTCTGTTTTCATAATCTTTATTTAATGATGAAAAGTTAAAACTGAGACTAGTACAGCATTGGCCCCTTCCAAAAAAATGCAAAAAAACTAAACCCTAATTCCTCTTACTATTTGTGGAGTAGAGTCATTTTGGGACTGATTCACACCATTAAATAAGAAGGCAAATGTATTTTAATGACTTACATATTGTACCTATTTGATTGATTCCTGCCTGTGCTGTCTTACTACTCTACATTCCTAAACACTACTATTTCTTTCACTGCCTATTATACTGAAAAATAAATTAATAGCTGGTGTGTTGTCTGCTCTGAAATAATGTCACACTATGCACACATTCACAGTACTTTGAGTGTATCAGAACTAGAAGAATTCAAAAGTCGTGGCGCTAGCTTCATGTTGAGTTTCTGTTCTCAAAAGAGAAGTTTTTCATCACTTTGTTAAACATGAAGTAAAATTAAAGGGGGAACCCCATTTCAAATATTTATATATGTTTATTGTAATTTCATGTTTCTGATTTTGTATGCTACCTCTATACCTTCATGAATCTTTTCTTTTTTTTTTTAAAGCAGTACTAACCTAGAGGCCAGTACTGCTAAATCAACCAAATTTACAAAGCCAATGGAACATACAGTGTCACAGCTGCCCCCCCCCCCTCTCAGCCCCTTGCTCTGTCCCTGCTCTCTCTACTACCGTCTTTCATCCGTGCCCCTCTCCCCTCCTGCAAAGATGAAAGGCATTCCTAAGACAAGCTGGAGCCACGCTACCTCCACCCCCCAGTTGCCTAGGTGACTAGGGGGTCCGACCAGTTTTAAGAAGCTGATGCCAGAGCTCCCAAGGTATTCACCGTTGTGTAGCTGACGGAAGGGGCCCGGGCTGCGGCTGGGACCTTTTCATGGCCAGGCTTGGCAGAGACCCAAGGCTGCCTAGGACCCCCCGTCTCCCAGAGCTGGGGAAGACTGTCTTCTAGACACCAGAGATCCGTGAATACATGCTCTCTGCCTGCTTCACTTGAACTGTTCTTGTGCTGACCTCACACCAACCCCCCGTTGGATTACTTGCTACAGAGACTCACACCAAACTCCCTGTTGGATTACTTGCTACATAGACTCTCCCTTGGCTCTCAGTGTTGGACTTTAAGTGTGTTGGTCCCTCCGTGTCGCCCTGGACTGGCGTATTCACCCTCCCTGCAAACTCCCCTTTTTCAGTGACTGTCATCTGTTTGCCTCAATAAAGCTTTGTGCGTTTACCATCTACTCTGTGTGTTCTGTCCTGCCTACGCTCCGTCACATACACATTTAGTATTCATAAATTACTGTGTATTTAGGTGTTTGCTCTTATGGTCCCTTCCACAAGGTAACATATTGACCACTGTGAGATAGTCAATGTTAAGCATTTGACCTCCCTCCCTCCCCCCACATATGCTTGTGCTTGTCACAAGAGATAAGCAATGCTTACAAGTCATGTACAAATATTTGACCTCCCTCCCCACAAATGCTTGTGCATGTCAACATGAGATGAACAATGCTTACAAGGTATGTACAAACATTTGACCCCCCCCCCCCCCCCCCAATAATGACTGTGTTTTTCACAAAGAGATAAGCAATGCTTACAGGGTACTCTATATTGCCAAAAACATTGGGATGCTTGCCTTTACTGAGCTTAAGTGGCATATCAGCCTTAGTCCGTAGGATTCAATATTGAGTTGGCCCACCCTTCACAGCTATAACAACTTCAACTCCTCTGGGAAGGCTGTCAACAAGATTTAGGAGTGTGTCTATGGGAATGTTTGACCATTCTTCCAGAAGTGCATTTGTGATGTCAGGCACTGAGGCCAGATGAGAAGGCCTGGCTTGCAGTCTCTGCTCTAATTCTTCTCAAAGATGTTCTATCGGGTTGAGGTCAGGACTCTGTGCAGGCCAGTCAAGTTCCTTCCTTCCCCAAACTTGCTCATCCATGTCTTTATGAACCTTGCTTTGTGCACCGGTGAGCAGTCATGTTAGAACAGGAAGGGACCATCCCCAAACTGTTCTCACAATATTGGGAGCATGAAATTGTCTTGGTATGCTGATACCTTAAGAGTTCCTTTCACTGTAACTATGGTGTCAAGCCCAACCCCTGAAATACAAACCCACACCATAATCCCTCCTCCACTAAACTTTACAACACTTGGCACAATGCAATCAGGCAAGTACCAGACTCCTGGCAACCAGCAAATCCAGACACGTCCATCAGATTGCCAGACAGTAAAGAGTGATTCAACACTCCAGAGAACACATCTCCACTGCTCTAGAGTCCAGTGGCAGCGTGCTTTACACCACTGCACCAGACGCTTTGCATTGCACTTGGCGATGTAAGGCTTGGATGCAGCTGCTCGGCCATAGAGACCCATTGCATAAAACTGTCTATGCACTGTTGTGCTAATCTGGAGGCCACATGAAGTTTGGAGGTCTTTAGCTGTTGACTCTGCAGACAAGTTGACGACTTCTTAGCACTGTGCGCTTCAGCATGCGCTGACCCTGCTATGTCATTTTACTTGGCCTACCACTTGGTGTCTGAGTTGCTGTTGTTCCCAGTTGCTTCCACATTGTTATAATACCACTAACAGTTGACCGTGGAATATTTAGTAGGAAGGAAATTTCACAGATGGACTTATTGCACAGGTGACAACCTATTATGGTACTACGCTTGAATTCCCTGAGCTCCTGAGAGTGACTCATTCTTTCACAAATGTTTGTACAAGTAGTCTGCATGCCTAGGTGCTTGATTTTATACACCCATGGCCATGGAGGTGATTGGAACACATGAATCCAATGATTTTGATTTGGAGGGGTGTCTCAATACTTTTGGCAATGTAGTGTATGTACAAATATTTGACCTTCCCCACTAATGCATGTGTTTGTCACCAAGAGATAAGCAATGCATGTCACCAAGTGATAAGCAAAGCTTACAAGGTTTGTAGGATTGTGCACACATTTGACCGCCCCTCCCCAGTAATGCTTGCATTTGTCACCAAGAGATAGGCAATGCTTACAAGGTATGTACAAATATTTGATTCCTCCCCCACACACTAATGCTTGTCACCAAGAGATGTACAAACATTTGACCCCCACCCCACCCTACAAATGTTTGTGCTTGTTACCAAAAGATAAGCAATGCTTACAAGGTATGCACAAACATTTGCCCCCCCCCCCCCCCACACACACACACACACAAAAACACACGCAAGTGCTTGTGCTTGTTACCAAGGTATGTACAAACTGCACCATACATAGTATCTACAAGGGATATTTTTATGTCTGGACAGAACCACTAAAAACAATATTATACAAAGGCTATGGGAGCTCGGAGAGCCTTTTACCATCAACTTTATGGTCTTGGCAGTGATTATTCTGAGATAGTAACACCATGAAATATATATTGTCATGCAGAATCTCCTAGCTGTGATAAACAGCTTATTTTCACTTGATGGGGATGACATAGCACTTAGAAACAACTTCCTTCAGTTCTATTAGGTGTCCCTTGCATGCAGTGTCACAGTTTTTTTTCAGACCAACAGAGTCTTCCTGATTCTTTTGACAGCTACTCATGAATTTTAATGTGCCAATTCCATATTCATGAAAGCAATGCAGCAGCTATGAGACATAGCAAAGAAATTACTTTAAATGAAACTTGCATTGTACAAAGCTATTTCTATGCTTTCTTTTTACGGTCAATTAGTGCATTTTATCTCAAAACTGCATGTCTTTATAACAATTTTCAGATTATTTTGTAATCCTCTATCCAGCTGAAAATGTAAAACATAGGAAAGTCCTTCAAAGAAAGTTATTTTGACAAGAATTGAGAACATACTGCAAAATAACTGATCAGTTATTTTTTTTCTTTGGTAAGTCCATTTAACTATATCATTCTGGCCATGCATGGGTGTCCAACCTGCGGCCTTCCAGCTGTTGCAGAACAACAAGTCCCATCATGCCTTTGGGAGTAATGCTTGAAACAGTCAGCCTTACAATGCTTCATTGGTCTTGTAGTTCCACAACAGCTGGAAGACCACAGATTGGACACCCGTGTTCTAGAGGATTTCTGACTGTGTGTTCTGGTTAGTGCGGGTGGCTATAGTACAGAGAAATCTATGTTCTACCAATCAGGCCTGGACTGGAAGTGCTTGAAATAAAAAATTGCACTCTGGTACGAAAAGGCAATCTCTACTTAGTAGTGTTCTACTCCTAGTATTCAGCATACTGAGGCCACCAGGGGAGTGCTGAGTGCTGAAGACAGTTTGTTTAGTGTTTCCTCAAGTATAGTAGCCACTCAGTGCTACAATATGATGGTTCAGTAACTGTGTCCTTGACAAAGGTTTGGTCATTAATAGAATAAAAGCCCCCAAACTAGATCTTGTTTATTCATCTCAGAAGTAAATGTAATTATGTGCCACATTTAAGACTTTAAAGTAGAGGTCCAGACTAGGACTAACTAAGCCTAAAACTGCCTAAACCCACCTTCCAACTCCTATGGTAAATACCTTGTAGAAGGAAGGTGTTTATAGTTACCAATTCTCTGAGCATTCAGGTCCAGTGTCATGATAGTCTCCCAGCAGCAGCTTCAGGGGAGAAGAAGGACAGCTGACAACGGATGACCATATTAAGTCTATGGGTCACCTCACTGCCCAGGCATTCTATCCAGTGTCTGCACTCTCTCCCCCTCCCTGAAGAAGGCCACTGTGGAATTCATGTGACCGAACCAGAGTGCTCTGAGAATAGGTAAGTATGAGCATCTACCTTCTATGGGGTAGTTAGTATAGGTGTTAGAAGGTGAATGGGAGCAGTTGTAAGCTTGTTCTACTTTACATTCCTAGTAAAACATATTAAAAGGACAAGTCTTCCTTTGTAGATACTTGACCACATGCTACACATCCTGTTTGGTAGGGAACACTAAAGAGATGACTTTGAAGATGAACTGTGTTCATTTATTTAGTAACTAAAATGTTAATGCTGAATGTTGAACTCTTCCCACTGACGTGGTGGATATATGTGGCCCCTTGGCAGGTGGGCTTATATAAGGCTCTATGTAAACACTTCTCTGTACTGAGCACACTCACCCTGAGTGCTCCCAGCACAGACACCGGCAGGGACCGGAAAGCTCCCAATGCATACTAGCGATCAAGAGCTTTCCAAAATGCCAGCCTCTGCCTCCCAGCATTTAAAAGCTCTTAAAGGGCCAGGAGGCAGTGGCATGAAGGGATTAAATGGGAGTCAATTTAAACTTGCAGTTCAAGGAAAAGTTTTCTGATGTATAACATTTTTTATGTATCCAATCCTAATTAGCTGTAATTTCTAAATCATTTATCAATCTATGTACAGAAATCAAATAATCTACCAACATACATTTCCGAGGACAGAACTGTTCATTTATTTCTAAATGTATTTATTACAAGTAGTGAAAATTACAAGTAATAAAAATTTACACAGCACATTACATACCTTACATCCACATCAGTCCCTGCCCTGAAGAGCCTACAATCTAGGGTTCCTATCTCACTTGTATACATACACGTACTAGGACCAACGTCCTCCAGTGGTAAAAACAGCTCACTCAGGCCACTCTCTAGTAGCTATGTATATTTTGACAATTTTATGCCAATGGAATCCTTTTCGCAACGTAACATTTTTCCAGTGGCAGTGGTCCCTTGCTCTCTCAATAAGAATTTTTGAGTTATGGAGTAATCAAGCAACAAGGGTTTAAAGGGTTGTAAAACAGGGTTTGTGAGTTCTACCCTGTTTTTTTAGGATATGCCTGTGAGTAGAAGCCCAACCATATTTTTGAATTTCGTTTATTTCATTGCCATGGTTTTTCTATAGGAGGTAATCATTCAGTTTGAACAGGATAGACATTGTCTGTGTTATCAGTTTTTCTAAAATTATGTATGATGATGACTAATGTTCATCTGCCTGTGGAGTATTTCAGGTGGTGGTATGCTTGTCCATGTTGCATGATGGCATGGACTATTTGCACAATGAAAATGTATAACATTCATGCTAAGATACTTTGAGCTTCACTATTTTGCTAGTGTCTTGAATTTGTCTTAGATTCTCTTTAATCACAAAGAAGGATATTTTTAGGTTGAGATTAATACCGTATGATTCAACAAAGTAGATTTTTAAAAATCTGTCCTTTATGCCATTTCTAGTTCTTTGTTTTTCATGCGATGCTCTGTTTAGGACACTGGTATCCACACATGTGATATATTTTAAATTTAATTCACAGAATTTTTGTGTTGGAATTATTTATGTATTTAATTGTTTATGTATGATGATAGTCTGAGCTGGGATGGTTAGGCAAAAGTGGAAAGAGTTTTATTCATTATTACCTTGTTCATCACCCCTCTATGAAAGCTATTTTCTTATATGCAATGGCAGGGCCCTATCACCTAGCTGCTACATATATATCTCCCTGTCTTTTTCTTGGGTACACTCCATTGGTACCCCAGAACTGTAACAGTTGACTACTGACAATCAGGAGCTGATAAGATCATGTCAGCACTGTGTAGCCAATCACAGTGTTGCAAGTTCAGGAGCCCTTCCTACCAATTTTGGGCATCACAGACCTTTAAAAGTGCAGGCACCAACTGTCATTAGCAAGTTACCTTTTGGGTGACACATAATAACCATCACAATATTTTCAAGCTAAATAAATGCCTTATGATGCCCATGTCTTGGTCTGATTATTATGCTTGTATGCATGGGGTTCTTAATAGCATTTAAATCAGCACCTGTGATCCATTTTGCAGGGTTTAATAATTTTAGGCATTGAATCAAAGAGTGCAGTGACCATAAACAATGGGATCTATATTTAAATGTTTGGCATGAAATTAGATTTCTCCCCCCCCCCCCATTCTCAGTAAATCAAATTGACAAATGCCCAAGAATAAAGCATTGTATTTTCAAAAATCTGTTTACAAAACCTTTTTCTTTTAGGGATCATGATTACGCTGAGTTTTGCATTTTGCAGTTTATTATGTAGTTGATTAAGCATAATGCACAAATTAAGCAGAATTAGGTGGTGCAACTGGGAAAAACTGACTTGCAACAAACAAATTATAGCTATCAGTTGTATTTCTTTTATTGGCTGTTATTACATGAGTCATTTACTTTCCTGGTATGTATAACAATGAATATTATGACAGTTCATCAATTCCTTTCATAATATCCCAAAATTCAATTGAGCATCACTTCACAGCAAACAGAAAGCCATTCATTTACTGCATGTATTATCTTGCTTTTCATGTTTAATGTGGCAGTTGTATTATCAACAACGCTTCTTGAACAATTACACTAACAATTAAAATGGTATCTGTAAGCTAGTAACTGGAACTTTAAATTGATTGATAAACGTACTTTCATAGTAAAGTGTGTGTCCATATAAAATATTTTTCAAGAAGCCACTACAGTGGAAGATGTTGACAGATGATACAGTATAAACAATTATAGAATGATCAGTCCACATATGGTAAATCACTGTACCCAGTAACCAGCATCTATACCCCAAGCAATCAGGCAGGATTCTGATAGCAGAGATGGATTGAGCGAGCTTAGTGCTGCACAATAATTGAGGGTTATGATTATTTGGTTAAGGTTTGAAGAGTCAGATCCATAATCGTATTGTCACAAGTTAGCCTGCAGTTTCTTGTTTGTGTATTCTTACCTCCTTGCTGCAGTGCTGTTCCTGTCCCTTTCACATGTGTGTTTGTCTGTGC